TCTCTGGTGAAGCCTCTCGCCACCCCTGAGCCTCTGGCCTGTACCCCAGTTCTGTATGCACAAATAAATAAATCTTTAAAAAAAAAGAAAAAAACTATACACACAATTGTATATACACACAACTGTTAAAACTGGCCAACTAATTAACATTCCCACAATTATCAAAAATTCTCTTGTATATTCATTATTTGTCTCTTATCCACTTATCCATAGGAAAGTTTACACTTCAAAGTAGTACTTAAACATGCATACAGTTATTTATGTTGAGTATCTTCAGTTGTCTCCTCCCTCTCCCATTTGGAATAAGATCTAGAATAGAAAGTCTCCACTCTCCAAAAATAAGAAATAGTATTTCTGGATCCAATTAATAACAAAAGATATTACAGTGTAAGCCACTGATTGGAAAAAACAAAACATAAAACAACACAAGAACAGAATCAGTTCAAATCATGTACCTATCCATCTATCATGATATAAAGAAATTTATAGTATATCTTCTACCTTTTCTAATTAAAGAGCTGAATGTCTCTTTAAAAATATAATTACATACAAATATCACATTCAGCTACCAAAACAATCATTTGACTATGGAGATCATAAGAATAGTTAATGATAAAATAATTAAAGCTGCAATTTTTCCTGTCACAAGTTTTAATTCTTCCTCCCAAGAGTTTCAAATGAATTTTTAAATATTTTTTAATGATGCACAAATAATTTAAGGCCACTGTAATCTGCATCATCCAAAGACTAATTTTCCAGCTTCTTGAAGAAATCAGCATAGAAGTTGATCTGGTTACTTGTCTTCTGAGAAGCATGAGGACTTTACCAAAGTCTTTCCAAAGGGGCTAAACAAAACTCTTGTTTTCTAGGAGGAAATGCATCTACTACACCATCATTTAGGGATTTGTGTTAGAAACTGGCAATTATTTAAATGTATGTTTACATGATTATAAACCATTTTACACAGCAAATCAGAAGACCGTTCACTGCAAAGGATAGTCTGGAATCTGCTCATTTTCTCGTTTTCTCCAGGACTTACAAAATACACCATTTTTTTTCCTTGTTCTCTACTCTCCAAAAATAAGAAATAGTATTACACCTAATTTTGTCAAAAGAATATACTTCATTGAGATTCTTCCATTAGAGGCAATGATCTAAGTGCCTTTTGCTGTTTCACTACACAGGGGATTCAGAGGAGTCATTGCGGTGGAGTTTTGCTTGCATAAAAATCTCTCAGTAATGTTTAGGAATACATAAATTACCTACATGTTTTATCACACCCTAACAAATCTGTGCAATGACTGAGAGAGTGGAGAATGGAGTCAAAGTGAACAGATTCAGCTGGATGGGTGCAATTTAGGAGCAAATGGAATGCAGAGGTTGCTCCTCATCTCAGGAATTAACTAATTACAGCCACAGGGCACTGAGGCTTCCATCTAAGAAAAAGTCAAAAACATGGACTAGGAGTGTCTATCATAAAAACTGTTTTAAGATTTCAAGGCTCCTTGTTACACTCCTATTTCATTGATCTCTTTCATTCTTCCAAGTAATTAGCATTAAAAATTTCAGATCCATGGACAAGTATTCAGTTATAAGAAGCAGATCACCTGTTTAGTGTGGAGTTGAGCAAAAGGGGGAGAGGACCCAACAATAGCAGAAGTGATGATCCTGAGGGAAAGGGTGGTGCTTATGAGAATGCAAACAGAGAAGGAAATGATAGCCGTGGAGAAGGCCTGGGGAATGGCCAGGGCAGGCAATTAGGAAAAATCAAAACAAACAAATAAAATGACCTCCATAGCTCTTCTACCATCTCACCTTAAACCCCACAGGGTGAAATCTGAACTCTTTTTCCTTACCAATTCCTTATCAATTCCCTCTGTATAGTCTTATATTAAAAATATGCATGGAGTATGCCATATCAAAAAATCCACAAATACTTTGTTATTATGGCACTGTTCTTCTCCTATTTTCTAGATAAGAAAACTGAAAAGCTGAGTTAAATATATTGAGCAAGTCATGGAGTGCTGGGACTTGAACCCAAGCCCCAAGCAGTCTGATTCCAGAGGCTGTCTCTTCACCCTTCACCTCATCTACACTGATTTCCCCCAAATTCCTCTGCTATCACTAGACCATGATCTGCATAGTTACCTTTGTCATTACAATGATAGTTCAGTTCCATTCTCCTGTATTTTTCCTGCCATGTCAAAGAATCATTTACTCAAGAAAAATTTCCTACATGAAACAACTATTACCTGCCCAACAAACACATAATTTATTTTCTACTGTATACTGACTTTTACAAGAACAGTGAAAGTAAGGATGGATACTGAAAAATAGATTGTAAATAATTAAATTAAAGCAATCAATTGTAGACAAACTTTAGGTCAGATATTCAAAGGTCAAATAAAAGTGGTATCCCCTCAATTAAAAAAAAAAAAAACAGAACAAGGCACAAGAAAACACTTAGGATCTAAAGGTCATTCTCAGTCAAACTGAAGAATTCTTAACATGAGGAAATTCTAAGTATAATATTTTTTTTTCCTTTGGTATAAACAGTCTAGTAGTTACTTAGTTAATTAGTAGTTAATAACTAACACCGAGTTGCAGTCAACAAATACAATACACTATGAGAAATAAAGCAAAAAAAAAAAAATCTTACCTGCAGATGTGTGTTTGAACTTTTCACTTTTCTTCTTCCTCCATTTCCAAGGCTTGAAAATCCTTCCCAGGTTGGCAAACTTACTTCTCCTCCGGATGGGTGGGGTGTGGGTACCTGGGACGAGAGAATCTGAACGCATCGCCGCCAGTCTCTCCACTTCTTCAGCTTGATTTTCGCAAGAAAGAAATGGGAATAAAGACAGGAGAGAGAAAGAAAAAAAGTGTTAAAATGGGAGCCTCACAGATGGTTACCATTTGCCATGGTTACAGATAACACAAACCACATGACTAAAGTTCCATTTTCTCTTTCTGCCTTTTGGAGAAGTCATACCAAGGGGTGCCAGGGGCCAGGGATCGGACACCCCAGCCAAATTCGCCCAACCTTAACTGAGCCCTGGGGAAAAGGAGGCGCATGGCGGAGAGCACATCAGGGACTCCCTAATGAGGCTGGGAGAGGGCAGCAGCACTCACAGGCATGGAGCTATTGGCCCAGGAATTTCTCAAATAAGACTTGGCAGATGCAATCAACTATAACATCGACTGCTGAGAAAGAAGAGGGAGAAAACATTTATCAACTGTCTACTCCAGTGCCAGAGTATCGCCCCCTCCCCCCAACTCTCCTCCCTGCCTTCCTGTTCTCCCCAGGCCCAGGAGAGGCTCCACCTGTGGCTAATACCAATTTCAGAATCATTCACATCCTTAGAGATCCAATTGGCTTGATACTCTAGATATTTTTGTTCTTTGTCTTTTGTTTTAATAATAATAGGAATAATAATAATATTCTTAGAGATTGAGAGCTGAGAGTGACTTAAAGGCCTATCTAAACTAATGCCACACTTGAGGACACTGAGCCCCTCAGGCCCATCAGTCCCGTCAGTTAAGTCACCTTAACTTTTTCTTTTATCACTATGAATAAGACAAACTCTCTTCCAATTTACATTTCCTTATGCCAGAGAGGTAGATATACCCTATCTTGAATTTTTAAGATAGGAATAATCAAAATGAAGGGAAAAAAAAAACTCTTCAGCAAAAGTAAGAAAGTTAGGTTTACTCTAGCACTGTGGAAGATCCCAAATCACTTAACCCAGTCCCACAGCAAAACATTGACCTTCTCCACTCAGGCTGTCCTGGGCAGCTCGGCCTTGCAGCATAGCAGTCTGTGTGCTGTTGTCTGAGACGGTTTTCTCAGGAGACTCATTCAGTTAACAAAAATATATGAAATTCACCATGTGCCAGGCAGTATGATAACTGCTGAGTGAAGGCACCTGGCAGCAAGACTGACTGAAAGGACGCACTTGGATTTGAGATGGTGGGAGGCCAAGTCAATGGGACCTGGTGACTGACTGGGTGGCCTGAGGTAGAGGTAGTTCATTCCTGAGGTCTATTCACATCAGTGGTGCTGAGGTGCAGGCTCAGCAGCAACATTGTATGTGCTACATGCCCAGCTTAAACTTGGACGATTTAGTTCAATGGACTCATAGCTTCTCTTTTCAATTACTGTACTAAGCTACCACTTATTTTTGTGGCAGTCACTGCTTTTTTTAGTTTTAAAAGAAGATATATTTTTCTTCTCACATGGGGAAGAAAAGGATGTAGAACCCTGTAAGGAAAAACAGAAACAGAGAGGGCTGAAAGGGCTGAAAGGGCTGAAAGAGGAGAGGATGTTTAGGGGCTGCCAGAAACCCAGTGAAGGTGATTCAGTGATGCTAGGGCAAGGAAGCACCAAGGGGAGAAGTCTGGCCCGAGGAGGCTGGAGCCAGACCATACAGCCTTTGAAACGTCTCATTAGGTGTTTGGGGTTTATCTATCAGCAGAGGGGAAGGATAAAATTCGAAAATGGTAATTGACATGATTACGTTCAACAGGTATGTAGGAAGTGCTTAGTAGACTCAGATGCTTGGGCTATATCATAAATAAAACAGGTTGAAATGTCAAATCACAACACTTACACTGGGAGGTAGGCTGGGGCAGACAACACACACTAAAACTAAGTGAATTGTTGGGTCCTCACTGGTGACACATGGGTTAAAGCACAGTACCACGAAGCAATTCACACTGGCCAGGAAGCTGACCCACATGGCCCAGCAGGCCTTTCCTGTCTCACTCACTGTTCCCCTCAGCAGTGTATTTCAGTAGATCTGTAGAACAGTAGTAGAGCCTGTTCTGCTCCTCATTCTGTCTCTGGTGAATCCTCTCACTTACCCCCCACCCCGCAACACTCTGGCCTACACACCAGTTCTTGTGTGCATAAATAAGTAAGTATTTTAGAAAAAAAAAAACTAAATTGTTGAGCATGTTAGAAGATGCATGCTTTGGGGGGAAATGAACGGAAAAGTAGAATGTGGCAAAGGAGTGTCTAGGTGGACCTTGACTTTAATTCTCCTGATTGATTAAGTACAATTCGGGGTGTGATGAGACTTGTTTTTATTTATACAAAACCCAGCCTAGAGAATGAAAAAACAGTTTGCAGAGAGAGCAACGGAGAGGGCACTGCAATGGTTTGAGCAGAAGCCAAGCAGGGGGTGACAGGGGCACACAGAAGTTGAGCATCAATTGGCTTCATGGTCAAGTCAGCACATCTTGCTAACTTTCTGGATAAACAGGAGGGAGGAGGCAAGGAAGCAAGGATGGCTGAATTTAATGTGCTTTATGATGGAGTAGATGCTGAAGATTTTACCATTTTTGAAGAACTTTAATTATAGATGGGAAGAGTGCACTGGACTATGGTGATGGCACATGGGTGAAATGGTGGTGGGAAGCCCATAGGGATTACAACTGAGTTGAAAAAAATGCACAAATGCAGAATGATGTAAAAAAAAAA